GAGCTATACAAATACAAACCAGGGTTGCAGGGGGGGTTTTACCCCAAGTGACATCTTTCTGGGTAAGAAATTCTCTGATACAAAGAGATCAGGCTTAGTATAGCCTCTTACATTTTAGCTTGAATTGATTTATTTAATTAAAGTATAGAGACCAAAACAGATCTTTAGCTGACAGAGCAATACATTTAGAGCAGTAATTATAAAAAAAAAAAAAAAATGCATTTAAGATAAAAAATAAAATGTTGTCTGTCAATATGCTCAATTCACAATTACTTAAGTGGAAAAGTTTCAAGAAATGAGTCTGAGATGATTCACTTTATAACATGGCGCATTATCCTGTTGGAAGTAGCCATGAGAAGATTGGTACACTGTGGTCATAAGGTCCGGCCAGGTCAAGATCCGCAATTGCAATCGCACCAAACAGGAAAAAGAACATCGACAAATTCCGGTTCGTCAAATTAAAATATAGCAGCAACAGATCGGTGACTAGAAATTATAGCACAATTCTTATATATATATATATATATATATATATATATATATATATATATATATATATATATATATATATATATATATATATATATATATATATAAAAAAACTAACACCGTTTATTTAAATGATTGGATCCAAACTATTGGTTATTCACCGAGGAAGCAGATTTCTCATCTCCATCAAAATATTTATTTTATACCGAGGGACTTAAACTTTAATCAAATCCATTTAAAAGAAACTTCTTATTACAGGAATGAAAAGAGATGCTGAGTTTGGAAGTAGTGAACAAGTTCATTAAAAAAAAAGCAGTTTTGAATTATCCTTATCCCCGTTACAAAAATCTACAAATATATATATATATATATTTGGGCAGAAACTGAACATATGCTGGATGATGGTGGGATTTTTTTAATATGTCATATTAAATTAAGCACTCACAGGGTTCATACAGGAATGAGTGACTCTAATTTAATGCTATTTTAATGCTATTTGAAATGATTTTAATGCCATCAACAAGAACCATGTACAGGTGCTGGTCATAAAATTAGAATATCATGAAAAAGTAGATTGATTTCAGTAATTCCATTTAAAAAGTGAAACTTGTATATTATATTCATACATTACATACAAACTCATATATTTCAGATGTTTATTTTGTTTAATTTTGATGATTACAAATGACAACAAATGAAAATCTCAAATTCATCATATCAGAAAATTAGAATATTGTGAAAAGGTTCAAAATTGATGGCCCCTGGTGCCACACTCTAATCAGCTAATTAACTCAAACCACCTGCAAAAGCCTTTAAATGGTCTTTCAGTCTAGTTCTATAGGCTACACAATCATGGGGAAGACTGCTGACTTGACAGTTGTCCAAAAGACGACCATCGACACCTTGCACAAGGAGGGCAAGACACAAAAGGTCATCGCTAAAGAGGCTGGCTGTTCACAGAGCTCAGTGTCCAAGCACATTAATAGAGAGGCGAAGGGAAGGAAAAGATGTGGTCGAAAAAAGTGTACAAGCAAGAGAGATAACCGCACCCTGGAGAGGATTGTGAAACAAAACCCATTCAAAAATGTGGGGGAGATTCACAAAGAGTGGACTGCAGCTGGAGTGAGTGCTTCAAGAACCACCACACACAGACGTATGAAAGACATGGGTTTCTGCTGTCGCATTCCTTGTGTCAAGCCACTCTTGAACCACAGACAGCGTCAGAAGCGTCTTGCCTGGGCTAAAGAGAAACAGGACTGGACTGCTGGTGAGTGGTCCAAAGTCATGTTCTCTGATGAAAGTAAATTTTGCATTTCCTTTGGAAATCAAGGTCCCAGAGTCTGGAGGAAAAGAAGAGAGGCACTTCATCCACGTTGCTTGAAGTCCAGTGTAAAGTTTCCAAAGTCAGTGATGGTTTGGGGTGCCATGTCATCTGCTGGTGTTGGTCCATTGTGTTTTCTGAGGTCCAGGGTCAACGCAGCCACATACCAGGAAGTTTTAGAGCACTTCATGCTTCCTGCAGCTGACCAACTTTTTGGAGATGCAGATTTCATTTTCCAACAGGACTTGGCACCTGCACACAGTGCCAAAGCTACCAGTACCTGGTTGAAGGACCATGGTATCCCTGTTCTTAATTGGCCAGCAAACTCTCCTGACCTTAACCCCATAGAAAATCTATGGGGTATTGTGAAGAAGAAGATGCAATACACCAGACCCAACAATTCAGAAGAGCTAAAAGCCACTATTAGAGCAACCTGGGCTATCATAACACCTGAGCAGTGCCACAGACTGATCGACTCCATGCCACGCCGCATTGCTGCAGTAATACAGGCCAAAGGAGGCCCAACTAAATACTGAGTGCTGTACATGCTCATACTTTTCATGTTCATACTTTTCAGTTGGCCAACATTTCTATAAATCCTTTGTTTTTATTGGTCTTCAGTAATATTCTAATTTTCTGATATGATGAATTTGAGATTTTCATTTGTTGTCATTTGTAATCATCAAAATTAAACAAAATAAACATCTGAAATATATGAGTTTGAATGTAATGTATGAATATAATATACAAGTTTCACTTTTTAAATGGAATTACTGAAATCAATCTACTTTTTCATGATATTCTAATTTTATGACCAGCACCTGTACACAAGTTATTAGTGTACATGAAATATGAAGGAGCTGCAAGCAGAGTTCCATGACTCCTGTATGTATATAAACACACACACACACATACACACACACACACACACATATATATGTATATGTAGTATATCCTCTAGCTTTTTCTCCGCCTGGAGCGATATAATATATCTGACGAAATTGTTTTTATAAGCATTTTTTATTAAAGAATTATAAATACTTCGATAAACATATTTAAATAATTTTAGTGCCAATTAAGGCCTTGATTAAAAAAAGAAAAAGAATGATTTTTTAATTATTTTTATTGATCCGCGGACACCCTGGTTCATCTCGCGCATGCTCTGTACGATCTCCAAGAAACTCAGAGCGGCGGGGCTGGATCCACAGTGGAGGATGTATGCTTTGCTTTGTGCAGCGGTCTGGAGCTTCTGGATTTCGGGGTAAAACTCCTCTTGGACGCGATGACGACTCTGCATCGAACAAGACGAACTCAAATAAGAGATGCTAGCGGTAAATATATGTTCGATTACTGCCTGCTAAGCTAAAAGCGGCCTAGCCTGAGCTACGGCTAATAGCGGCTAATAGTAGCCTTGCAAGAACAAGCTTTATTAAAGTGTATTTTTTGTGATTTACAGGTAGCAGTACGCCGTCTTAACAACTCGGAGACTAATTGCAGGCGCTATGAACCGGAGCAAGGGTAAAATTTAAAGAATATGCTTTCATTCTGCGGTAAAAGGCAATGGATACGGATAGATACCGATCATAGCTTTACATTTTGTTTTCACAGACCTCCCATCTCGGCAAGTCCAGATTTGCACGATGTTGATAAAGACGACATTGTGTGTAAGTGACTTGTTTTAATGTTTTCTCCTTCCTTGTTACTGTGACTTGCGTTTGATTTTTCATTGATACCACTCTCATTTAATTGTTTTCCAGCTGCCTGTAAGACGTATTTTCAGACGGTACGCAGGAGCTTCAGATATACGCAGCCAGCCACACGCTGCGTGCGGAGGCAATCTGCTCGGAGTCGGGCCAGAAGAAAGAGGGTAAGACTTTATTTGGTGACTATTTTTCAGGTGCATTAATAGATGTGTTGTGTCCATACGCAGTGCGCTGATTCATTGTTTTTTTTTTCAGCTGCTGAAAGCGAGGCAGAGTGTGCTAGCAGATGAGGAAGTGGAACTCTGGAAGTCCGCCTTCCTCGGCGGTGTCTCTGGATGGATTGTACGGTCGCCGCCATTTCGTAGGCCGGATCTCACTGAACTCTGTGTTAAGCTGCAGTCCCAGTTAGAAGCGATGCCGAAGTACAGGGCCACGCACACTAGGCGTCTGCACATCGGACCTGCCTCGGAGGGAATGCTGCCAGTTACCTCCAACCCCGAGGAAGCAAACGGACCGTTCACGGAGTTTTAATTTTTAGAAACGCATGTGTTTGGATACGCGTTGTATATAGTTGTGTGTGTTTTAATAAAGCTTTTTCTTTGCATAAACAGCTTCCTGGCAAATGTTCATTTCCTGTATAAATTCATTCATGTCCTTGATGGTAGCATAATAATTGTGTAGTAGTGTAGGATAACATAAATACACAGCATATGAATGAATAAATATATGAATGAATAAATATATATATATATGAATAAATATATATATGTAAATTTATATGTAAATATATATGCTACCAATCACGAGCGACTTTACTTGTTTAAAAAGAAGTGGTTCCGTCCAATACTCAGTAAGAAAATTAAAGCCTGGCGTGGCCACGTGTGGTTTTGCTGCCAATCACGAGCGATTTCACTTGTTTGAGAATAGTGGTTTCAGCCAATACTGAGTAGGTTATTCAAGCCAGACCTGGCCAGCCGCGCGGGTTTGCTGCATTCATATGCTAATTAGGGCCATTAGTACAGCTGATCGCTCTCCACATACGTCATGGTACGTTTTCGACAATTTGTGGCACGACAAACGCGGACAAGCACGGGTTGCAAATTGTCGGAAACTGACGAAAATCAGGCAGATCTGCGGGAGTTTACGGGGGTTTACGGGGACGAAAATCTCACTTTTCATGCAGTGTCATCTTCCCTTTTCGTCTTTGTTTCTGTGCGATGGACTTCTGAAGATCTGACATTCTTAGTTTGCAGTGAAACGAACTTTAAAGTTTGTTTATATATATATGTATCCTATCTATCTTTCTATCTATCTATGTAATTAATCTAAGATTTAATATTTTTCTCACAAAAATAATGTGAAAGATTACATCTGCCTGTATTTCTAATGGTCAGAGTCAATTGTTTTTCCCCCTCTGTCCTGGGCCTGGGACAATTGACCCGTTTGTGCTCCCCCTGTCAGTAGGCGTGATCAAATGCATCACTTACCCAGTAACGCCATGAAGCAGATGCAGATGGCAAAGAGTGAGCTGAAGCTCAGGCCCACGTCGTCTCTGTAAATTGCTAATGTTGTCTCACAGTGGCGCCCTCTGAAGCCCTCTGGGCAGTGACAGGTGAACTTTGAGGGGGACTGGGCTACGCAGGTTCCTCTGTGACAGGGACGAGCAGCACACAGGGTGTACACACAGGACTTTTTGGTGCCGTTCACACGAACCATGTGACCAGGTGGACACCTGCAGACAGTTTTTAAAAGGAAAAAACGGTGTCATGACATTTGCTTTTGGATTCATTAAAGTCGGTTTGAAGACATAGGGACCCCTTTTTCATCATGCTGCTTCATTTTATATATATATATTATATTTTTTCTCATAGTAGCTTTGCCTCGTCTTGTTTCCATTCGGCTGTGACTCCATCCTGGAAAGAAATATCAGCTGTGCTGCTGCCATCAACACCTTGGTTTACAGATATTTACAGATCGGCCTGTTGTAGTCCTGTTTCTCTGGCTGTGACTGGCTGGATGTGCTCTCTTCATCCTCTGACATGGGAGCTGGTTTGGTGTTCGTCTACCTGGCTGTGTGTTTCCTGGACGGGGCTGCGTGTGGAGCTGATTTATAGTAACATTTTATATCTCAGCTTCTTTTTCTTTGTCTACTTCTGTCTCCTTGAACCCCAGTCGGCCTCGGCAGATGGCCACTCACAGTGAGCCTGGTTCTGCTGGAGGTTTCTTCCTGTTAAAATGAAAATTTCCTGCTCCACTGTCGCTACAAGCATGCTTAGTGTGAGGGATTGGCTTCAAGTCAATGAGTCAATGCAATCAACTGGTTTTTCTTAGATAGAAAACCAGGATTTATCTCGAAAGTTCCACACACTGGTTGCTCTAATGGCTTTTCGGCTGTGCTTGCTGTTCAAACCCACCTACCTGACCACATTGGGGAGATCTCCTGAATGGCAGGCCAAGGATCAGAACTTCTTGACTGCTCAAAAGTTGTGTGGCTATTTCAGTACCACACTGCTGAAAAGCACACTGTCTCTGACATTCTGTATGAGACTACAAGAGTAACTCAGAACTTAACCTAACCTCCAGGCTCCGCCACCTGAACACAGGCCCATCCAATGTAGCCTGGAACAAACTTTCTTAAACTTTGTGGATATCTCAGGATCCCAAAACAGAGATCATAGAGGACAGAGGTTTGGAAAAATAAGGGTAAGAGTTTTTGGCTGCAATAAAAAGTTTTTTTTTATGTTTTTTGCTCATTCTACATGCTTATTGTAGTGTAAAAACAAGCGAGCAAGAAGCAAATGGAGATCACTAGGTGGCCAACCCCATGCTGACATGATATTAATAAGGGTTTTAACTCCAATATGGCACTGGATACTGATATTTTAATTATGTTTATTGTCAAAAGATGACGAAGAAGTCCTTTAAAATCAGTTCCCTTGTGTCTGTTAGCTTCTAGCTCTATGTTCTTCAAAAACCAAACCTGGCTAACAAAGCAAAGTGGTTTTTATCCTATCAGTGGGCTATTTAACCAGCTCGACTACTTCCTGAACTTCAGCAGCACCTTTGTTTCCTTTCTTTCATTACTGAACAGACTGATTAATCCAGGGGCGTCTGACCTCAGTAACCATGACGACAGTGGCCAAGTTTAGGAAGTAGTGGAGCTGGGCATACAGGCCATTATCTAAATAGTTACTGGTTTCTGATTAAGCACATTGTTTGGCTAAGTATTATTTGGACAATCATGTTTTATTTACCTCTCAGATCTCAGATTGGTTTGAAAAACATTCCAGTTTATCTCAATTAGTTTAAGAGCTAATTTGACATCAGTCCAAATTCAATAAAGTCCAAACATACAATACAGGCTGAGCTGTTATATCATTGCATCATTTCATTTTTAACTGGATCTGTTTTCAACTGAAACAAGTTCGACTGATGAATTTTTGTTAATAAACTCATATTCTGAATGAAAGATGTAGTGAATTTATTCCATATATGTGCAGAATTATCTCTTTGCCCACAATTTGAGCTTAATTCACATTTTCATTTGTCGTACTAACACACACCTAGTGTGAAATGTGTTCAATTGACGACAGTCTGAATATTATTTGATTTAAACAACTATCAGCCTAAACGGAGGAGAACAGTGACCAAAGAAGTAACAAGCTGGTGTAAATCTCGTCACATTGTAGCCCAGGTAGAAGCTCTGTTGACTGCCTTGGTCTAGATTTGGACTCACAGGAAAAGTCCGGTGAGCAAGGAATACAATTTGGTTGAACTGTAAAGTGCCTTGAGATGACATATGTTGTGAATTTGGCGCTATATAAATAAACTGAATTGAATTGAATAATCCGTGGATCATTATCTATACCTAAAACTAATATGTTTGCGGTTATTTAATACATTTTGAATTATTCAGTAAAAAAATAAAAACAATAATTTTTATCATGATCACTGAGTCTAGGAGGGGCAATTTTTGCCCAAATATAGTAACACCCCACTCCTGACATCTTCCGCCAGTGATTCAATTCAATTTAGTTTATTTCTATAGCGCCAATGCACAACACATGTCATCTCAAGGCACCTTACAGTTCACCAGATCATACAGTCAAATTGATTCAAAGTTTTCTATCTAAGGAAAACCAGTTGATTGCATCGACTCATTGACTCAAATACAATCCCTCACACTAAGCATGCTTGTAGCGACAGTGGAGAGGAAAAACTCCCTTTTAACAGGAAGAAACCTCCAGCAGAACCAGGCTCAGTGTGAGCGGCCATCTGCTGAGGCCGACTGGGGTTCAAGGACACAGAAGCAGAGATACAAAAAGCAGCTATTAAAGGCAGCCCCGTCCAGGAAACACACAGCCAGATAGACAAGCTCCGAGCTAACTCCCATGTCAGAGGATGAAGAGAGCACATCCAGCCAGTCACGGTCAGAGAAACAGGACTACACTGGAAAACAGGCTGATCTCCAACATCTACAAACGAAGGTGTTGATGGCAGCAGCACAGCTGATATTTCTCTCCAGGATGAAGTCACAGCCAAACAGGAACAGACCAGATGAAGCTACTATGAGAAAAAGCAGAGAGAGCAGAATGTTAGAGATTGAACTAACAGATTCTACAGAGTGGGAGAATAGAGATAGAATAAAGCAGAATGATGAAATGAGGTTCCCTATGTCCTCCAGAAGTCTAAGCCTATAGCAGCATAACTATAGAGATAGCTCAGGATAACCTGAGCCACTGTAACTATAAGCTTTATCACAAAGGAAAGTTTTAAGCCTAGCCTTAAAAGTGATGTCACAGTGCGGTAAGCCTAGCGCCATTCTCCCCGCTTTACAAGCAAAATCAATGGGAACTACTAAACACATCTGCAATCAGCAACAATTATTGAAGATTTCCACAGGACTTCACCATTGAAATTCACCAGAGCTATAATTTAACTGACAATGCCCACGTGCATGGTAGTTGGATGTTGGAATACATCTGATAAAAGTGAAAGTAGGGTAAAAGCTCAATAGCCGATACCGCACCATGACATCACACAGGTAGGTGGCAGTAGTGTTCTTTGACAAACATGGATGCCTCCAGTAAAGTAGATTCAAATGAAAATTACTCTTAATTAAAATTAATAATTTCATATTTAAAGTACTTTCAGAAGTTTGAATTCTGAATATGAGCAGACATTTCCTTTAACACGAGCAGTTCAAAGCTGTGTTACTTTTTTTTTTTTATCTGTGACTGTTAGATACATAAAAAGCAGTACTGCAGAGAATTGTACAGGAGCTGGAGGCATGTGCTTATCCTGTGGCATGTAAACTCAAAGGAGAGCATTAGGTAGTTCAGGACCACGGATAGTTCCTTTAGCACAGGTAACGGGAGAAAACAACAGTGGAATAAACTTTTTATCCTATAATGAATAAATAAACGTTAATGCATTTCAAATGCCAGCACTTTAGGCCACCACAGAATCACAACATCTAGACAATAATAATATGAAGTCCATTCAGCAAAATTTCATGGTTTGAAATGACATTCAGTGGCTTAAAACTCTGCAGTTCATTTCCCAGGTCGCTATCGGGCAACCAATGCACTGCAGTGGACAAGACAAATAACTCTACAGTTTAACTTGCTTTTATTTAATATCTTCTGGGCAAACACAAGTCAATGTGTACCCAGCTTTGCAGCTCTATGTGGACATTCTCTACAACTGGCTAAGAGAAAAATATTAGTTATTAGGGCAATTTCCTACGAAGGATAGGGAGGTACAGCTGACCTGAAAATTAATGTGTTTCCTTTTAAAAATCAGACCCTGGAAAATACTGGCTGTTTCCTGTAAAAGCTTAATGTATAATAATGTGTTTAAGAAAACAAATCATTACACACAAGGAAAAATAATGAGTTTGTTTTCTGCTAAAACAAAATTCTCAATTAGTCTCACATCACAACCACTGTTTACCTTCACTTCTTTAGCACAAACACACCAACCAGACCAGAGCAGGCTGCTGAGAAAATAAAGATTTGTTTGACAAAAAAACAATGTCAGTAGGTGTCAAAGGTAAGTGTTCAAAAAGGAAGAGATTTTATCTAAACTACTGGACCCCACCTGGTTATAAGAGCTAATTAATAAACAGCTCCCAGTCTCAGTTATTGTTTTAGGAATACCTGCCTGCTGTGGTTTGGTATCATAGAACCACAGATAATAGATTTCATCATCACACTTAAGGTCTTTGACACCCTGCTCACACACAGAATAATAAGATTATTAGAGGAACAGATTGGGTAAAAAAAAAAAAGTTATAAAAATGTTCATGCGGTATAAAATTATTCTGTGTTGGGCAGGTAATCCAGCAGTTTAGGAATATGCGTAATCACTTTATGCTGATGAAATCATGCTATACTATATGGTTTATAAAACTGTGGTTAAGTAAAAACTATTTCAGCTTTTCTCTCAAAAGACTTAAACTTTGATTATTGCTCCATAAAATAAGAAACAGTTCTTTGGTGTTTTAGGCTTCTCTGTTAGTCCAACTCAGAAACCTGTGGGACATTTGGACTCTGTAATGTAGTGTATATAGAGCAACCCAATGTAACTGAACAGACAATGACATCTAGATCTATAGATCTAGATCAAATGTAAGGTTTTTCATGCTAATGATAAAATCTTCCTTATGTTCAAAGGTTACCTGTGGAGTACCACAGGGATCGGTGCTAGGACCAATTCTCTTTACTTTAT